AACCCCTAAACCCCTAAACCGCTTTCATGTTTCCTTGGGGGAGGGGGAGTTGCACGGCAAACAGGGCTCGGGAAGGTCCCGCTTCTTGCTTCTTGCTTATAATCCCCCTTAAGTAGATTTAGGGTTTAGGGTTTAGGGTTTAGGGTTATATTGGGGTTGTATAGGGATAGTGGAGAAGAAAATGGAAACTACTGTTTAGGTGTTAGGGTTTAGGGGTTAGGGTTTGGGGTATATAGTCCCCCTTAAGTAGATAGAATATGGCTTTGGGTCTACTATAAAAAGATCCCCGTATATACCCCATATTCTGTCTACTTAGGGGGACTAGAGGCCCACGAAGTTCAGAAAGCAGTTTTTTTCTCATAGCTGTCAATACGGAAACAAGATGAGAAGCAGTCGACATGTTGCACATATCCAAATGGTTATATGACCTTCATAACTTAACAGAAGCTTAAGTGTTAAAGCTTCACGACTTCCTTGCGTTAAGGCTTAACATCGGGACCCAAAGTTGCACTGGGCTTCACACTTAGGGTCCCGGAATTACATTGGGTTTACTATTGCCATGCTAAATCATATTTCAGTTAAGAATGAAGTTGCTATTGCAAGGGGCTCAAAAGGTGGGATGAAGGTAGGTGGGGCAAAGGAATAAGCCACAATATAGTAGAATCTACAATAGGGACCTTTGAACCCACCTAGCTTTATCCCACCTTTTGAACCCTCTGATTATTACAAGGTGTCGAGGCATATGACTGACATTTCTCAGCGGGTTGGTGCTTCTCGTTGCAGACATGGGCCAAGTCCAGATTATGGCCCGCGACCCGCGACCATGTGCTAAAAACAAGTCAAGCCCTGACTTACTATATCATATCATACCTGGCATTATTGTTACCATTACTTACTAGAACTTGCTAGAAACTCATAAACAAGCAAAAGGGAAGTTTTTTTTTATCTTGGAAGCGGATTCTTGCCAAATGGGCGTGGCGTTTCTTGGGTCTAGGGTTTACGGTTTAAGGTTTAGGTTTAGGGCCCTGAGTCCTAAACCATAAAGGGAGTAATGCTGCCACGGAGCAAATTATGACGATCTTGCCCGATGGCGGCTTACATTGACAGAGCATCACATAACTGCTGAAGATCCAGTCACACACAGATTAGCGTTCAATTTCCAGCAATGGGGTCAAGAAATAGCTCTCTCATAGAGCACAGAAAGAGAAAAACATCAATTGCTGAGGCTCTGGACGTGCGTCGCGCGAACCAGAATCAGCTCCAGCCTCTAGACGGGAGTTTAGGGTGTAGTTTACAGATCTGGGGTCAGGGCGTGGCGAATGCTTCAGCCATGTACTGCATCCGTCAGATAGAGGTCCTTGTAAAGGGGAAGCGGTTTTAAGCTATAAGCTAAAGAATTGTAAACGCTAGCGCGCGCCCGCCTCGGCTGGCCGGGCTTCCCACTGTAGGAACATGTAATTATAGATATACAGGTACTTAAGTTAGGTATATGGATACAGTCATATGCCTAATACATATACAA